CACTGCCGATGAGCAACTCTGACGAAGAAAGCTGCAGCTATGGCTGCAGCGCCACTGTAGATGTCATGCACGATCTCAGAGGAAGATGCAGCGACCGTGGTCCACCCACAAATACTGCAAGGAACATGAATATGGACGAAGTACAGAAATCCAAATTGCAAAATCATACTGAAGTCCAAGTAGTCAAAGCAAGAGCAAATAGCACAATGGAACCGAGTAACCATCCATTTGAGAATGATACAGAAGAATCGTGAGTCAATATCCAAGCCCAACAGGGCAACACCAACAGCATAACCCAATGTATCTCTCTCTCCTGAATGGCGCCAGGCGTCCTATCTACTCTACAACCTAAGCCTACAACTACAACAATGAAAGCAACCAGACAACTTGACGACCAGCGAGTGATGATGTCAACACTAATGCCGACCTCGACCTCCACCTCCACCAGGTACGTCTCCTCCTTCACCCACACTCTCCCTTGTTATCCTACACAACGCCCTTCACCTCCAAAGAACCACCTTTGCCCTCACCTCCCCTGCGCCCTCAGGCAGCCCGGCTATGGCCGCCAGCACCTTGTGCACAGGCAGCACCCTACCGCCTAGAGCCTGCCTGCCTTGCACTTCATCCTAGCGTAGCGCAGCAGCTCGCATTAGCGCAGCGTGCCGGCATTGCCCGCAATGGCCAAGATCCCTGCCCACTCGCCCTGCTTGCCTATATGCCAGTGTTGCGTGTGGGCGGCCTCCCTTCAGCCTGCGACTGGGCCCAGTGCCTGAACCCAGGCCCGATGCAGTTGGGGCCCGGGTTATGCAGTTGCGCCTCTTTCGTCAAGGCCTGCGGCCAGATTCAGATAGTGGGCCGATTTCCCTTTGGCATTTTCAGCCTCTATATCCAACATGCATTGTTGGCCTCACGTTCAAGTGCCAAGGGCCTAACTAACTCAGAGGCCCTAGGATCTCCACATTTGCAGAGATTCGAGACTCGGTGCACTCCAACCAACTGGCGTGCTGCAACTGTATGGACCCCACTTCGTGAAATGTTTGCACAGAGGGCTCTTGTTGATTTGCTGGCCCGCCTTCACTTAGGGCGGGCACGAGGCTTGCTGGGCCCTTAACCCAAAACATGTACATCATGGCAAGGCCCCTTCTTGAGGGCTCAATCCTCACATTCCATCCCCCTTAGCTTCGAAAGTCCGTTGAGATGCTTACTTCGCAGGTGCCTTCCCTTTTACCTTTCTTTCATATTCTGCCACCACTTGAGGAGCTGTGTCAATCAGTTCCTCTTTGGTGAACCACCGATCTTCCTTCGGATCCGTATGATGCCTGAATCTGACGCGATATTCTTTCTTGGGTTTAGGAGGTCTTCC